CATGGTTTTGTTAAAATTATTCACACGCTCAGTAAATTCATCTGCAAGTTTACCCAGGAGAATTGGTTTCATTTCAAGCAGGGAAGAGCTTTCCAAAATAAGAGTTAAACAGGCCCAGATTCTGTTAGTTAGTCACTATTCAGGGTGTGACCAGGGTCCCCCATATCTCACTCCACTATGTCTTTCTCCCTTAAGTCCAAAGTTAACCCAAGACATTTAGGTCTCATTACCTTAGTTTCTGGAAGCTTATTTTTAAAATTTCAGCCAATGAACTCAACTCATGCAAAGAATCAAGTATGTATTGGGGGATTCTGTAATGTTAATGTTGTTTAACAGCTGTTGATTGTTTCACCAAGCCAGTTGACTTGATGAGTCAGATGGCTTGTAAATATGCTAGTTCTGATTCTATGGACAAGACAGTCCAGAGACGGACTCACCTGAGGAGTTTAGGGGGCAGTTAGAAGGCTCTAGCAAGAACTTAGATAAGAAGGCCATCTTTGAAAAGTGGGTAGAATCTGAACAGGTATCTACCACCATGGGTAGGTGACCCAAACTGATAGAATATTAGGTGCAAAGGCCAGCCAAAGAACCATTTTGTGGGGTGATGATAGGCAGTTTGAAAGGCCAGGAAAGCTAGATTATGAAGGCTTTTGGAATCCAGGAAAACGCAATGGTATTTGTAAGTGAAACAGGGCATTTTTCAACATGAGAGTAAAAGAACAGATAGTATCCTTAAGTTCTACGTCTCTAGTTGCACGCCCTGTCTCTAGTCCAGCTGTACCACATTATCATCAAGCAGGCAGCTCCTCAACCATGTAGCAGTGGGGCTGGGTCTTTGGTCAGACAACTGGGTCACGTACACCAACAGACACTCAGATGGCAAGACTTGCACGTTCTTATTCTCAGTCCCTCACTATGGCCTCTGGAGCCTATAAGACATTCTAGAATGTACTTCTGAGTCCACAGAACACATTACAGACACAAGGAGGGAATGACAGGAAACATACAAGTTGGAATTGTAAGAGAATGCAAGAGTTAAGAGGTTACCTATTTTTTTAATCCAAAAGATGCTGAAAATCCCGCTGCTTTTCTCTTTAAATTCTTTCATGGCCATCTTCTAAACGTCCTATCCCTTCATTTCTTCTCAGTCTGTTTGTTGTCCTATAGGTCAAGAAAGACTACTGTGTGTTTTTACAACAGTAATAAAACAAGTGGCTTAGTCACCCAAGCAAGTGTGTTTTCTCTCCACTCCCTTTATGGATTAGTGTCTGCAGGAAAAGAGAATGGAGAGTGGCCTCCATCTTCCTAGTGCCCCAGGCTCTCAGACTGGAGCTACGAGCCTGGCTTTCCTGTCCATTTCTACCGACTCACAGCTCCCTATTGTCAACTTTCTGTTACTACTTTAAAAACAAGAAAGATTTTAAAAATCATGTAAAATTTATAACTATTGGTAGTTAGTTACCTTAGAGGAGCTAAGAACAAACACATAGGTTGCTTGTTCTGACTTTTTGGTGGGGGAGGAGGCGGATATTTTCCTAACTATAACAAAATCTCTATGGAGCACTTAAGAAGTTTCACTGTGAGGGACCAGAAAACTCTCTTTGTGTATATGATTTTATGTGATAACTATATTGTAGATTAGGTAAGTGTTCTATATTCACTTAGATGCCAGCAAAATCTGGGCTGTATTTTTGTCCTGAAACTGATTATGTGCTTCTTTTTTTAGCTTTTTGCTCATTAACTATCTATTACAAAATCTCATAGGATATTGAATTTTTGTTTTGTTTTGTTCTGAGTTCCTGTCTTTGTCTTTCTCTATGGATTGCTGTTTCCTGTATAATCCTTTTTCTTCAGAATCTGACAAGAAAGGGTATAAATGACAACACATATATAGGGATTTGGTTAAAAATAAACATTATTCATATGGAATTCAGTTGTAAACAAGTTACCAGAATTAAGATTTTAGAACTTAACTGTAAAAATTTCTCAGATTCTTCAACTTGGAACAATTATGAAAATTTAGTTGGCAGGGGCTGATTCAATACAGCCTCTGAGGAACTGCACTAAAAAGGAGTTTTATAAAACAGCAGATATGTAAATACATCCTTTCCTACCTACAAGAAAAGATCAATATTCTTTTTAATTTAAGATTTTCCAATAGAGTGAGCAACCATATTTCCTTGTGCACTAGGATAGTGCCAGTCTGTTTTTTCCCAGTATGTGAAAAAAGGCAGGATTTTCACAGGGTTTGCAGATAGATCCCAATGATCTAGATCTTCAAATTCACATGACTCACTGGGCACCCAGGCTATTTACTTTGATCCCAGACTGGGGCATGTAAACATTTTTTTTTTCTGTTAGTTTTACCCAAATTTGCCTTTTAGTTTTCTCAGTGCACATAACAGATATCCTTATTACATATTTGGTAAGACCATATCACACAAAATGTTTCATCATGTGACTGTTTCCCATCTCTGTTCATCTGTTTTCCTATTATCACAAATCCCCAGGTTGCCTGTGCTTTTCTATGGATTTCTGTGAATGAGTATTTTTTAATTATCTCCTAAGACAACAGCCTGTCAGGCTAACCTTGTACCTCACCCCCTTTTTAATGAAACCTATATCAGGCCAAGTACTAATAGCTTCAAGGAAGTTTCAAAAATCTGTAGAAAGAGAGCCATGTTAATATTTATTAGATTTAGAAAGATGACAATAATTTTCACAGTCCAAATAAAAAATGATTATATGAGTTTCAAATGACTTTCTATTTCAACGTGACTATTTCATTCTTCTTCCCAGTAGTTTTTAACAAATCACACTAATCTGCAGTTTTAAAAGTAATAATTTTACATTAGCATTTTTCTCCTTCTCTGCCATACAAGCATTCACTCTTATGCCTCAACCAATATGGCATTTTCTCCATCCCACACTTGCCTTAGAAACAGTAAGCCCTTTTTAAAAATACATTATTCAGCCTCAGAATAAATATATATAAATTCATGTACACACTAATATTAATAGCACAAGAAATGAATACAATAGTAAATGTAGGCGATAGTGTGGTCTTCAAGTATAGAAAGGTAACTTTTAGATTCCAACATTATTTGATCAATCTATTGCCCAGATTTGGGATGGAAAAGAAATATAATTTTAGATTCCAATTCATTAGCAATTTTATGCCCTTTTAAAGTCGGAATAGACGAGGCACCTGGGTGGCTCAGTCGTTAAGCATCTGCCTTCGGCTCAGGTCATGATCCCAGGGTCCTGGGATCGAGCCCCGCATCGGGCTCCCTGCTCAGCGGGAAGTCTGCTTCTCCCTCTCCCACTCCCCCTGCTTGTGTTCCCTCTCTCGCTGTCTCTCTCTCTGTCAAATAAATAAATAAAATCTTTAAAAAAAAATAAAGTCAGAATAGACTTTGGGTGTCAGTGTCCTAATGAGAAAGCATTTAACAATAAAAACAATAATAGTAATAACATGATGAGATAATAGCCAACATAAACTTAGTACATGGAATGTTCCAAGAATAGTTTTAAGCAATTTAGTTTCATTCTTCTTCAGAAAAAGCTTTTAAGTAGGTACTGTGATTATCCCCATTTTACAGATGAGAAAACAAGCACAGAAAGGGTGGCAAGAAGGAGCAAAACATATCTTGTTTATAAGGCCAATATATAATGTAAAGTAGGGTGTCTTGTTAACAAACTGCTTTTTCTTTTCTTTTTATTCCTGCCATAAAGTGACTAAAGCATAGTCAGTGGGAAAGCATCTTCTACTATTAGTTGCTAGATGCTAAGTTTTGAACCCTTTTCCCCAATTAAAAGAAAATGGTGCCTGATTTTCCATTGCTGCTGTCCATGTCAGTCACAGGGCTCTTTTCAGTTACTGTGAAGTGTGTAAAGAAAGCTTGATTTTGAAATTATTGATCATTTCTTAAACCTGTTGCTCTTTTCCCAAAATATGGCCATGGGTGATAATTTCTCTCCCAACACCACACTGCCCTTTATCAAACTCTGATCCATATTAGGTAGTAAGTCAAGACTACTGTTATGACTAATTTATTACTAAAGTATTATATTTCTCAAATAATCTTTTGGCCTTACCTTATTATTTTATACTCTGAAAAAGACAAATTCCATTCAAATAAGTGGACCACCTTATTTTTATTGCTAGAACATATAAAATGAGAGATGAAACAGAAACCACCAATTGACAATCTGCAACTCTGATCAGAAATTTCAAATATTTTTTATCTCTCTAGAGTACTAGTATTAACAGGGACAGTGTTGGCTTTCAAGATTTCAAAAAAGTGAATATGTACTCTAGGTATTAACACAATAAATGGAATCAGAATATATGGGATTTTTATGGGTTTGGGGTTGGAGGAAATCAGGTGGAAAAGGATAGGGAGATGTCTGGTTTGAAGTAAGGAGCAAATAGACTTTTATCTGTAGATGTATAATTGGCATCTTTTTCTCCATTACCATATAGGACAGGGGACAGACTCAATCTTGAGTTTCTACCAATTACACCTTTAAAAATGAATTTTGTTTAATTAAATCATATCCTCTGCATATCTAGATATTTATAAACATGACATTAATTCCAGCAATTGAACAAGAATGCATTCACATTGCTACCTTTCAGGGCAATTTACTAAGGTTTCTTTTAACATGTTTATAACCAGTTGCAAATCTAGGTGTTGCATCATTGCTACGCCTTGATGAAACGTTTATGGACATGTTTTATTATTTGCTAATCTGTGCTGTGAACCCATCAGTCTGTTTGCAGTGGGGAGGAAGTGGGTAGAGGGGTGGGAGGGTGGAAGAGGGGCAGGTCATTTTGTTTGATGTGTTGGTGGAGGGAGGAAGTTTGAACTAAGATGTACCTAAAGGGTTCTGTTTTGACCCATGCACAAAAATCAGCTGCAATAAATAAATGCTGCTCATAGCAAGTTTTCAGTGATCATACTGTTTTTTTTCCTGTGTTTTATATTTTTTCTCAGGGGAAATCTCTCACGTCAAAGAGGTTAACAAGCCTCGTTCAGTCTTACTAAAAGGATCATCTTGTAGCATGGAAGCAGACTGGAGTCATTGCATATACTTTGTAGCTCTTTGTTGTTACCTGGAGCAGAGGACATTAGACCAAGATGTTGCATGAGCAAAGGACCTGAATTGTTCTCTCTTTGTGTACATTAAGGCATTGCCATTTCAAGTGACTCTACCATCTCGATGCCTCCATTTCAAAATGTTGTCTGCTTACTTTCTCCTTGTACTAAGCTGGATCTGTGTCTTTTCCTTTTTAACAAGTTCAAGTGAAGTAAACCTTTTATTTTTCCTCTCTCTCTTTCTCTTAAAGCTTTTGCTAGACACACAGTTCACTGAAAATTCACTCAGTCAAAAACTGGAAGAATTGTAAAAAAAATATATATCAATAAGCATACATATGGCTTCACATTTATTAAACAATAAATTAGCACAGAAAGTTTCATTTCACCAATGTGTTCATAGTCAGAAACAAGCTCATGTCTTTGTCTGTTGTCTGTACATTCTCGGTTAATGTTTCTTGCATTTATTTTTATACCATATTTAAATAAGAAACACCTTTTACTCCAAATGTATTAAAGTTGATCCCTTCTCTGTAAATTTGTGTATGTTTATATTGTTGTTTTAACTTTCATTAAAAGATGCAGAATCTCGTTGTTTTTGTAACTTTTGACTTCTGCATGCTGACAGAAAATGCTGAGAAAGCATCCACAAATGTAGACTTGCAGTTTTAAGATATCACCCTGAATGTTTATTCAAGGCAAGCTTAGATGGCACAGTAGTCAGGAGCTGACAGGAAGTGTTTCATCTCGGGCCTAATCCAGGACCAGGAAGATGCTTTTTCTTCCATTCAAGAGCGATACACATTGGCCTTCCACATTTTTAGAGCTTTTTCACAGGCCTTTCAGCCTCATTATGAATATGCATCCCTGTGTATTGCTGATGGATATTTCTATGAGAATTAGGTTTGAGTGTGACTTCTGCACTCAGGAACTGGTATTTTTCTTTAAAGTATAATTCTAAAAATGCCTTAAATCAGCGACTTTTTAACATTTTGGTGGTTACTAATTCTTTCGAGAACACAATGGTAATTAGTAACCTTTAGTAAGTCCTCACATTTAACCCTCACAGGAGCACTATAAGATTATTTCTGCAATTTTGAGAATATTAAAGCAGAGAGAGGTTAAGTAACCTGTTCAAAATCACACAGCCATATGGTGAGTTGGTATGCAAATTCAGGCAGTCTTACTCTAGAACCCCACTATACTACACCAATCCACTATACCCCACAACTTCTTTTGGTAAAATTTAAATGAAATTCCATGTACACTCTCACATAGGAAGCATTTGCAGTGAATTTTAGGGCATTCACAGAATATCCTCTGAAACTCATCTATGGGCCCCAGATAAGAAACTTGACTCCCTTTAAGAGTTGGGTCAGTTACACAAAAGGTCACACAGTGGGGAGAGGGCTTAATTTGTTTACTTTTGCATCCACATAGGCTTAGCAGACTCTGGATATTTAGAAAAGTAGTTATTGTAGTTAATTAATATTAATCACTGTTGGTAAATTTAAATTCTGAAAAAACAAATACCAACATCGGTGAGAAATTTGTTGTGAGTCTGTGAGCTAGTGTACAGAACTGTCACAAATGGGAGAGAGTTGATAGGAGAAATTATATATGGACAATAATCAGAACACTGTATTTACTTTAAGATTTAAAAAAGATCTAATTATATGCCTATGACTTTTTAAAAGGAATACATAAAGTGCATGCACATAAATCTAAACATATAGATGTTCTCCCTTGGAAACACTTAGTTCAGGACAGTGTTGGGCAGATGGCACTGAAGCTAGATTGAAACACTATGTAACAGAAACATTATTTGAAAGAAAGCAATAACCCATTAGAAGAGTATGATGAATAGACGATGAACTTTGCACAAATAAAATTGGTTATTTCAAAGGCTATCTCTTACAAATTGTCATTCCTTAGGTGCCCATCCTTACTGAAAATTTTAAATTCCAAATTTATACAGAAATAAAAGATGTAAGAATGGCAAGAGGACAGAAAAGAGAAATATCCAGACAAGTATCCCCAAGTCAGGAGCTCCTAGTAAACATGCGAGTCAGTTTGAGTTCAAGGACATAAAACTTTTAAATAGCCTAATTTAACATAGTTTAGACAAGGCTCAGGATACAAAACAGTGTATTTTAGAAGCGTATAGAAAAATGTTGGAGTTCTTGCAGTTAGTTCACTCAAACATATGCAGCACTCTCCTATCCCACTCTGGGACAATTTGATCTATAAGGCACAGAAGAAAAAGCTCTCAAGTTTCTAATGAATAAAATGGTTTTTAAGAAGTCTTTTTCTACCTTCACACAACTTAAAAAGTTACCCACTGAAGAAGTGGCCCGGAGTTCCCACACTCAATTGCAAAACTTAATTCATCCTCTAAATTGCATTGAACCAATTCTTCCCTTTGCAGTGTTTACAACAATGTTTTCTGTGGATTTACAATGGATTTTCTGCTTGAATAAGAGCAACAAAAATATGGTCAGCAACTCTGCTCCTGTCAGGTACCAGGAAAATAAATGAAGGAAAAAAGGCTCCCTTTTCACCATGACAAGTGTGTGAGTAGATGTTGCTACTCAGGACTTGCACATGTGTCCCCCTCATTCTCCTGGCTGAGTGCTCACTTCTCTTTATAGATTATGAAGGTTTATGAATAATTTTGTTCTATGTGGAAAGCAAGTCTTGGCTCCTAGCATAAATTTAGTCCTGGTACATGCACTGTCTCCACACATAGGTTTTTTGTGTTCTTAATTACATACTTGAAAGAGCACATTGAAATAGCCATTGACTTTACTGTTGCCCATGACTGTCTCTTTGCATATTCTAACACCCTCTAAAACATCAACAGGAGGTAACCAAAGGTTCCCCTCCATCTTCTAAGCCATCTTAAGAAAATAGAGATAGTGAAGAATTTGATGAATGTAAAGGATAGAGAGAGATCTAAGTCATGTATCCCCCAAAATTATCCCATATATTTTGTTGTGTACAACCATGTTTTTATATGTTTTTATTCAGAAGATGCCAAATGTCATGGGTATTAAGGAGGGCACGTACTGCATGGAGCACTGGGTGTTATACGAAAACCATGAATTGTGGATCACTACATCAAAAACTAATGATGTATTGTATGGTGACTAACATAATAAAATAAAATTTTTAAAAAAAGGATGCCAAATGATATACCAAACATAAGACATCATCATTTAAAAAATCAGTTTATTCTTTATTTTTTTAAAAGATTATTTATTTATTTATTTGACAGAGAGAGAGATAGCGAGAGCAGAAACACAAGCAGGGGGAGTGGGAGAGGGAGAAGCAGGCTTCCTGCCAAGCAAGCAGCCCGATGTGGGGCTTGATCCCAGGACCCTGGGACCATGACCTGAGCCAAAGGCAGACGCTTAACGACTGAGCCACACAGGCGCCCCTAAAGATCAGTTTAAGACAAAAACTGTTGTATATGCTCTTGAATACCTGGAGAAATTTCTATACAGCTGAAATGTAATGCATTTGCAACTTCATCTTTACAAAGATCATTAGTTGCTGGTAGACATGAGTACTCTTTGATTAATTATCTGATTAATAAATCTTGATGTCCTTATTAATTTATGAGACCTCAATCACTTCAACTTGTTTGGAAATTAAATAAATTGGAGTGTGTTTGTTATCTTTTTAAAGGTTAATAACATCTAATTTGGAAGGATTAAGACAATGCATCGAAATTACCAAGTGCAGAATTAGTTACGTAGTTAGAAGTCAAAAAATAATATTTACCTTAATATCTTCCCTTTCTTTTCCTCCAAAACGTCATTTTTCTAAAAGAAAATAAAAGACATATTCAAGCACCACTCTTAGCTCGAGTGGAATCATTTGGTTTGAAGTTCAGAAGGCCAAAGCCAAGTGGTAAATCAGGATACCAGAGACCAGGGCAAAGACCTGGAGAGCAGTCAAGTGTGATGGTGGGGTTCAATAAAGCATTGGTACCAAAAGGGTGACCAAAAAGTGAAACTTGGCTAAGTCAAGGAGACTGCATCCTGAACAAGTGAATTCTGGAAACTGCATTTCTGGAAAATAGGAATAGGCCTTGTTAGAGAGCAGCTGTGGCCTCACCTGAATATATGATGGAAACTTGTAGGAACAAAGACAATGTGAGCTAGAGTTGGAGGGGAGGGCAGATGGTAGTGATAAGGTAGCAGGGGTAAAATCATCACTCTTTCTCAATGCAGGATGACCTTTGGCCCCAAAGTATAAGGAGAGGAACTTCTCCTTCCCCATACACCAAATTTCCAGAGGTCTCATGGGCCAAACAGGGAAGTAGGTATTAAGTATAAGGAAACTGAATGATTTGTCATGGGAGGTCTTAAAGACTCTGCAACCTCTTGATTCCATGATACAAAGCTGGGGTGTTTGCCAGGTGAGTTGATAGTCCCTGTCAAGTGAGATTGTAATACACAGCCTACAGAAATCTTGGTTCACAAGATGGAAAGGGGCTCTAGAAGAGTTTACCGTAGGCTACAGGATTTGAATTGACTCTGTAGGGTGACACAGCAATAAGGTACACAAATCCATTCCACATACCAGTTCTTATTCTAGTTATATACCCTGGCACTTTTGGGGTTGCAGACATATAATGAAACCAACTATATGATGGTACCTACTGCAACTTGCAGTGCTCAGTCTCCATCCCCTTTCCCTAGTTTCTTCCTGCCTTTGGCCTTCCCAAACTTCTTCAAGTGTTCAGGCACAAAAGCCCCTCTTTCTGCCTCTTTTTCATAGTAAACTTTAATGGCCCTAGCACAAGATTGACTGGAAAGAGTCTCAGTTTCCTCTAGGCTAAGATCTAATATTTATGAAGGTAAACACATCCTAAAACCTCCACTCACTCCAAGTAGAAATGATGTTTAAATTTTCAAAATTAACAAACACATAGCTGCTAATGAAAGTGAGAAAGGGAACCATTTCCTACAAGAAAATAACCAAAGGGAATATTTGGTATTGTCAGAGGCCAAAGTCACTTGGCACTGGAGAGCTAGGCATAGCAGAAAGTGACCAGGACCTCTCACACATTCATAGCTACAGACCCACACTCTGCCATGAACGGAGACTGGGAAAAATTTGCACAATTCCCAAGGTTGCTAGAGAACTAAGCCGTTTTCAATGACCATAGTATCCAGTATCTTCCTGCATACATGAAGGGTAGTGTCATGTCACCAGCATGTGCAGGGCAGGAAATGTATCATGCATGCAGAAACATTCCCTGAGCATAAAATGCACCCTGGCCTGAAGCTTTGAAACAGACTATGATTTTCCATGAAAGCAAATATAGGAGAAATGTGTGGAATGTGACCTTACAAACTACACTCATAAAAATGCTTAAAAGGATAAACATTGTGAATGACACAGCAAATGGAAGAATTTACACCAAAGGAAATAGACAAGATCAATCTGAAGAGTGCCTCAAAAAGTATTTTTAAATGTTTAAAGCAATAAAGTATGTAAGCATGAGAAAAGAGGAGGCAGGATTATTTTTATAAATACATACCAAGAGTTTCATAGTGAAGCTTTAG